AACCCTAATAAAACTGTTAATGTCAATTTTACTAGAACTCAACGAGTACATCCAAATATTAACTTTGGAAACACAATGAATATAATTGCACAAAATCAAAGTCACTGTCACCTTGGGCTGACACTTCAGTCTAATTGGGGCTGGTCGGATCATATCGCAACAATTTATGAAAAAGCTTGCCTAAGACTAAACATACTGCGCACGCTAAAATATAAATTAAAGAGAGACTCCTTAATCAAAATATACCTATCATTTGTTCGACCAGTTGTAGAATATGGGGATGTGGTATGGGATATTGCGCTGAAGAACAATCTAAATTATTGGAGAGTGTGCAGGTGGAATCTGCAAGAATAATTACAGGCATTAGGTGTTATACATCAAAAAGTAACTTATACAAAGAGTTGGTATGGGACACTTTAAGTTCAAGAAGAGAAAATCATAAGCTTACATTGATGTTTAAAATACTAAATAATCTTACCCCTGATTACATGAATAATACGCTTGAAGGATGTATGCCAATCCAGCATAATTATAATTTGCGCAACCCTAATTCATATCGAATCCCAATCATTAGAACAGTGTTATACTACAACAGCTTTGTACCATCCACAATATCCTTAGGTAAAAATTTATCAGATGATTGCAAAAACTCCCCTACATTACAAACTTTTAAAAATAAATTAAACCCTACCTGCACTCCTATTCAAAAAAAATAAATATAGACTTTACAATTATGGTAAAAGAATTGAAAACATAATACACTGCCAGTTAAGGAATAAATGTAGCAACCTTAATGCTGATCTTTTTAAAGATCACATAAATGAATCACCAATATGTAGAAATTGTGGATAAAAAAATGAGAACTCACTTCATTTCTTCTTGTATTGTCAACAATATGCCTTACAACGACAATTAAATTAAATGATTAAATACATGAATGAAAATAACATACCAATTAATATAGAAAACATATTACGAGGGTCATTCAAAAAGTTCGTAGACAATGGCGCTTTTGGTAGTATTTCTTTTTAAAAATTCATGATCAACACATTATTTTGTTTAGAAACATTTATTTTACCTATGTACAAAATTTTATTTAATTTGAATAAATGGCACTAGCATTATTCTATTTTAAAATCGTCTTGTTTTGTCTGCAGGGAGCACTCTCAACGACATTGTAACGTCAAATTCATAACGTCATCGCGTCGTATTTTACAGTTTTTCAAAATACTCCCCTCTGCACTTCCCACACAATCTGTGGCGTCTTACCCACTCACTGAATGCATCTCTATACCATTTGTCATCGAATCTACTGACAATCGTTCGAGTTGCATAAGTTAATTCTTCTGTGTTTTTAAACTTTCTGCCACGTAACTCGGCTTTCACGGTAGGGAAAACCTTGAAATCCATCGGCGCTAGGTCAGGACTGTAAGGTGCGTGAATTACACGATCTAAACCTAATAAATCCAACTCCAGCACAGTGGAATCAGCGCGGTGGGCAGGAGCGTTGTCTTGATGAAGAAGGAACTCTTCTATATGCTTATCCGGTCGTTTTTTCCGAATGGCATTTACAAGATCCAGGCGAATCACCTATTTGAAAAGAGAATGAAGATTTTGCTATTTTTTTATTGTTTATAATAATTTATTGAAATGCAACTTTGATTTTAAATTTATTCGATCAAATGCCCTATAAATAATCTTTTTAATGGTATTTTAAATGTTATTAAGAAATTATAGATTCATTATCACATGCTGGAAAACTACTTTAATATTTGTTTTAAAAATATGTACAAGAAATAAAGAAACGGTTATTACCTGTGCGTAATATGCTGCATTGACTGTTTGTCCCTCAGGTACTGCATGCACAAGTAGCATACCACGGATATCCATGAAAAATATAAACATATTCTTCCTAGCAGATTTTCTTACTTTAGCTTTGAGGGGAGGTGGAGATGATTTTCGCTTCCATGCTAAAGATTGTTGTTTTGTTTCAGGATCAAAATGAAACAGCCACGTTTCGTCAGTTGTTACTATTCTTTGAAGAAAGTTATCTTCATTCGAATACCGCCTTAAGAATGCCCGAGAGAGTTGCAATCTTTTTGTTTTGTCTTCATCAGTCAGGAGTTTAGGTATCCAGCGCGCCGAAACTCTTTTCATATCCAAGTGTTGAGACAAAATTGTAAAAGCGGTACCAGAGCTGATATCAAACATCGACGCAAGTTCTGCAACTGTGACGCGCCCGTCACGCTCCATAACGTTACTTATTCTTTCGACCAAATTTTCACTAATAATTCGTTTCCGCCCTGCTCGCTCATCATCTAAAACAGAGTCCCTGCCCTCCAGAAACCGTCTATGCCATTTATAGACAAACGCTAGGCTCACTTTTGACTTACTTCCTGCCTTTTTCAACATTTCCACAGTTTGTATTGGTGTTTTTCCAAGAGCAACACAAAATTTTATAGCAACTCGCTGCTCCGTGACGTCGTGCAAAGTCATTATTTTCGGCCTTTTTCGATGCGGACTAACAGTCTTCTTTAATCATTTTTTATTCAACTAAGCACTAAATTACGTCAGAATTTTACATATGAAATGACGTAACAATACCCTATTTGAATATATAAATTTTATTAAGATTTAGCGCCATTTTTTAAAATGACGACTAATAGCATAATACCAGGAAATAATTATACATGACTAAATTTTGCCTTGCTCCGTGACCCGTTTTTTGTGGCTTCGAAATTTAATTAATTTGAAAGTATGTTGGAATATTTTAAAATATTTTAGTTTAAATTAATTGGAATAACTCTTAAAATATGTCTACCAAATTTGGATATAATATGACGTTAAATAAAAAAGTTATAATAAAATTCTACGAACTTTTTGAATGACCCTAGTATATGGTGTAGACTCACTAAGTCTGGATAAAAATTTTTCATTTTTGATAAGGTACATATATACCTTTATAAGAACCTCTAAGAGGTTTTCATTGAAATTTTAGGTTTATTATATTCTATGGGAAATATATTATTTTACTATATGTTAACTGCTCTGTTAGGGAATCCTTCCTACTCTGGGTCAACAGCAATTGCTCAAACGGATGTTCTTTTTTGTGTTTTTTTTTTGTTTGGTTTGTTTTATTTTTCCTTTTTGTCGATTATACTTTATTTATCATATAAATATTATTTTTCCTATTCATTTGTTAAATTATATTTTTTTCTTCTCATTTCTCTTCCTCTCTCTCTCCCTCTCTCTCTCACTCTCTCTCTCTCTCTCTCTCTCTCTCTCTCTCTCTCTCTCTCTCTCTCTCTCTCTCTCTCTCTCTCTCTCTCTCTCTCTCTCTCTCTCTCTCTCTCTCTCTCTCTCTCTCTCTCTCTCTCTCTCTCTGAATTCCAAATATGTACCATTTTATAATCTTCTTTTCATACATTTTCCTATGTTTCCATGTACTTGTGATTGTACCTTGACCCATGGAGAGAACGATCATAGGCATTTATGCCTGCTGTTCAATCCATTTCATTATATGAATAAAATATATTTTAAACTAAATCCAGCATCCGAAGCAAGTTCATTAGTGTGAATCCTAAAATGTGTCCTCCATGCAAGTTTGCTCAACATAGGGTTCATAGTTACTTAGTATTTGGAAATGAAACCTGCATAAAAAACTAATTTTTTCACTCATTCAGAAAATGTACATCAGATTAAGCATCCAAAGCCAGACCTGATAGAATGCATTCTTAGACGTATCATCCATGCAAGTTTAGTTATGAAACATTTCAAAGTAACTTAAAAATGAATCCTGCACAAAAACCTTTAACCTATTCACTCATCTGACGTCGAAATCGACGGTATTACATAAGCTCCCCGACTTCGTTGAGGTGAGCTAAAAATCTAATACTTAAAAATAAATACTAAATTGATATAAAATTTATTTGGAAAAGAAATTTGATTTGAAACAAATAAATATGGAACACCCAATTACATAAAGAATAGCAATTAAAGCAATAACTGCAAAAAGGAATAGAATTTGTACGCATATGTTGATGCATAATACACATATTCATTAAAAGAAAAAGGGAGAATAAAACAGATAAGTAGCATCCACATATATTTATAATGTGCAATTCACTCATCATGCTATCATCATATGCATTTCATGATTAATTATCATATGGATAAACATGTAAAATATATTTGAGCTGTGAATTAGAAATCTATATATATACTAGTTACCGAGTATGGCATTGAAAATCTCTTAATGTGTGTTTCTTTTACATGTAATTATATCTAATATACATATATTATCTTCTTAATTCATATACAGCCTAACAAACCATAAATATATATCTAAAAATTAACATCATTTATAAAACATCCGTTCTTAATATTTACAAAATCTCTTCTTTAAAACATAAATTCTGTAATGGCACAACATTTCACAATTCACATACAAAAACTTAGTCATTAACATTTAATTCATTTGATTTAAATACATCAATCAGTGGAGCATGTCAAATATTAAATAAACCTTGCTGATGATCAGAGCTTGGATAAAATCATTCCTCTTCCTTAATGTCCAGGGGATGAAAAATTCCACTGCTCTAGGCTCAGGTCTAGTGAATTTTAATGGTGGGCTTGTATAATTTGATTTGTATGGAAACAAATGGTCAGGTAGGGCAAGTGAATTGTGATCCTGTAATTATTCTTGGGCCTTAAAAATCTATTTATAAACCCTTGCTGAACGTGCTGGATGATCCTGGAAATTTTAGGTACGACTTGATCTTCGGCAGGGGAAGAGGGATAACGTTCTAAAAAGAATATCAATAAAATATGATACTATTTTTTAATTACAAAATAAAACTAAGGTCCATTAACAAAAAAAAAAACCTTTACAGTATTAAAATATGTTCAAGTATGTGTATGAATAGTTAACTCATTTTATAAATTTTATATATATCTTGGTGAAATATTCATTTCAAACCACATTTTTACATTTACTTTGTTCAATAATGCTTCCAGTGAACGTTTTCTTTATTAGAAAATTGTAGTTTACCATTTTTCTGTCCTTCAATTGATTGTCTTCTTTGGGGACTGGGGTACCTCGTCACTGAGGAGACTTCTTGATGCAGTACCAGTACCTAGTGAACAATATTCTCATAAATTATACAAAAATCAACTTTGAATGATGAACTGAAAATATGTGAGGTTAATTTTCTTTATTTACCTATATAAATATATGTATGACTTAAATTGTAATTTTCAAAATTATTTCACTACAGTTTGTTTGTACCATCTGCCAATAAACTGTTCAACAATTGCTTTTACATGAAATGAACATACAAATCTTTTATTGGGAATTTCATTTAATTCTAAAATATTTTAAGCATCTATAACAACAATTAATGACTTAGTTTGCATTTAACTTGAAAATAAAGTTACACAATTGGATGTTCCACAATTGTCCACATAGTATATGAAATACAATCTCCATTAATTCATTATCAGGATTATGAGAACTAAAACAGAGAAAGTAAGACAACATAGCAAAGGCAATTTCGCATACCTGATTTCCTTCTACAAGATTATCATTCTTCATCAAATCCTCAATAGCTTGTTTCACTTCAGTCAGTTCCATACGCAAGGATGGATCATGGCTAAGTAAACTCTTTACAATCTCTTTCACCTTCTCATTCTCAATATAATCTAGAGGGGCAAAATTTCCTGCTCTGAGTTTTTCAAATCTTCGAGGCCTTTCACTTTTATCCATTTTAACATACATTTCGTATACAATTAATCCAATACTATAAAAATCTGCCTTTCTGTCGTAGGGACGATTATTTTCCGCCTTTACCTCTGGTGCAATGTAATAATACGATCCTATATCCTTGGTGAGGCTTTTTTCACTCTTTCTCGAATCTGGAGTATCCACTTCCAAACTTCGGTCTTTACTCCAAGCCAAGCCAAAATCACAAATTTTAGCCTTACCATCCTTACCAATTAAAATGTTTTCTGGCTTGAGATCTCGGTGAATGTAGTTCTTCTCATGAATAAATTGCACTCCATTTAAAATACCAAGAAATACTTTACATCTTCTTTCATCATCATTAAATATATCACCACTCTTTATCATATCCTCCAAGCTTTCTTTGCAAAGCTCAGTCACAATCATTAAGCAAGCAATATATTTTTCTTCATCCATTACTACATCAGAATCTTTTTTTGGCGAAGTATAAAATACATGTGATGTATGATAACTGACAATATTGTCATGGGACAGTAATTTGCGTGAGGCAATAGCTTCATTATACTTAGAAGCCTGAAAATCATCAAGATCAACTGGCACTAATTTCATTGCATAATTTCCATTGTCCGTAATTTTCAGGACTTCAAACACAGTGCCTTGTCCTCCTTTACTAATCTCCGTTATAATTTTGTAATTGTTCCTAAAGGACTTTTTATTTTTACATCTTTCTATACATGTTGTTTTGTGGTGGTTATCCTGGTCAGATAAGTCACTAGTATAGTGTTCCTCTGAACTTGTTGAAGGTTTTTCGTTTACACCAGTATCATTTTCCTCTGAACTTGTTGAAACGTCTTCGTTTGCAAAGATAGTTTCCTTGAGCTCATCATCATGATCATAGAACCGTATTTTCAAATTATCCATGATATTCTAATAAAAAAGTATTTTGATACAGTATTTTATCAAAAATATAAAAAAAAATAGCTTCAAGAGCTTAATCTAAATTGATATCAAAACATACAAGCACATGTATAAACCGTAAATTACTTACTTCTTTCTCGGTTGCTGGCTTTCTAATTGTTGTTTTAATTATTTCATCAGACAAGTTATTAATAGCTTAGGGGATTTTAAACGGAAGGAGCTACATGTACATAATATAAAAACCAACAGCATAATGATTATTGAAATTTTTTCCGAAATGCTGAAGATTTAATCTCCATGCATGCTGTGCACCATTGATCTAAACATGAATCAGTGTACATGTTTATGATATAAGTCCTTATGCGTAAAAAACGTACATGTTTTTTTTTTCGATTCTAGTTTTAAAAATGTCATTATGACAAAATTATTGACTGTTTTAGAATGATTACCTAATTAATATTTTTTCCTTTTCAAATCTTTATTTTCCATATCCTACCCCTTAACATTTTTATGCAAACTAATAAGCTGGCAGCTACCAGGGATGGGGCCCTGAGTAAACTCAATAACAAGTATAATATATATTATAATGTAATTACATATAACATTTCGCAGATAGATAATATATTCAAACATATAGATAATCAAATGAAGATATTTTAAACAAATTCTGTATAATTTTAACGATATTTTGGTAATTTATTATACTTTTTAAGTATGCAAAATAAATACACTGTAATTGTTTCATTTATAATATCTAGAAGGGAGGTAAATCTTACACCATCTCAGTCTCTTATTTAAATAATTATACGCGTTATATATCTGTAACATGTTCTCTTCTGCTTTCTGGATCCTTCATTTACTAAACTGAGATCAAGTCTTAAAAAAATAATAATCCTTAAAAATAATCACCTGCCAAAATATACAAAGACGGCGAACGTATATACAAAAATAATCTTCTGCAAAATATAAAATAAGGCGATGCGTTCAAGTTCCTCTCTTATAAAATAAAAATAATTATCTTTAATTAAGGAGGATCCCTACGACAATGAAGTATAGTTGCATGCATTTGTTACTAATAATAGACTCGATATCCTAAAAAAATAAGGTTTTAAATTATTTCACTTTATTTTTTGAAATATTTAAAATATATTATTTATTTTGTTAAAGTTCCTCCTTTATATTTTTTTTTTAAAAACCCAGTGTTTTATATTTCTCTTCAAAGTTTAATGTTTTAAAATATTGAAATAACAACCAACAAAGTTATTAATAAAATGTACATAATTTTTATTTAAATTTCCAAAAATAGACAAAAGAAAGAATAAAACAGCATTTGCTTGAGAAAAGCTGGTTGGATATTCTCTGGCATCTGAAAAGATATAATCATATTAAAGGGTAAAAACAATGGGCAAAAAAGAAATTGAAGAAAATTAGAAAACTATAAAAAAAAAATTTAATACATCAGAAAAAATTCATGTGTGAAAGATCCGTTTCAAGATTAGGCTCATATATATTATAAATGTTTTATATACTTTAAATAAACTCTATTAACATTAGCACAAGTGTCGAAAAAAGGTGTCAAGCAAAGACATTCAGAGAGATTTGTATTGTAATGTTTTCAATTGAGTTTAAGCGAAAACCATCAAGTTTCCAGTCAATGACAAAGACATTTATTTCGTGAATAGTTATTATCGCGATCAATAAGAGTAGCTCCCCTTTATTGTGCTCTCTTACGTAGGAGTTTAACATTATCCAAATCTCGCGAGATTTTCGGGTACAACGTTGTGAGGGTAAACAATATGCCGATTGTACACTGCGTCGCAGAGGGATGCACAAGCGAAAGTCGAAATAACCATGGCAATGTCGAATTTTTCCAATTTCCAAAGGTTGAGTCTGTCAGAAAAAAGTGGTTACGTTACATAAGACGAGAGGGGCTTGTAGAGAAAATCAAACGAAGTTTAGAACGCGATTCTCGGTGTGACCTTCGCCATTTGGTAGTATGTTCTGACCATTTTGTAGACCATAAACCCACTGCAAACAATCCTTATCCCACTCTTTTTAGGTACAATAATTACAATAAATCAAAATGCAAAAAGATGTACCAGAAATTCTACATCGGGGAGATCAGAACTAGTTATTGAACACCTTCCTGTCACAGAATGTGTAAAAGAAAATATTGACATAAAACTAGTAAAACAAGCGCCACTTATACGAAATAGTATATGGTATCCATGCGTTTCTGGAGAGATTGTAATTTCTGAAAAAGATGGGTCAACGGATTTTCATGATTTGACAAACGAAGGTACATAAACTGATAAAATATTTCTTTTTCCAGAGTCTAATATGTATGACATACTCTGAGTTTAAAAAAAATCGCATTTAAATTTCTCAGTTCAAAACGACATGATTTTTTTTATTATTATTAATGGGTTATTTATCACTAATGGGCATTCAAACTTTTTTATCCTTCTAGTGGATGCACTGCCACATAGTGCACTACCTTGAGATCACAATTATGTGCAGACAGAGGGAAATAAAGTTGATTTTGAATCCAAATATGAAAAACTTTCTGATATGGACAGAAAAATTGAGGTACTTTTTAATTAAAAGATTAAGTTTTCGTTAAGTTGGAGTTGCTGTTTTTCATTTCTTGAGCTATTTTTGTTTCATTTGACATGCATAAAACCACTATGTTACTTGAACATGACCATTTCACATTGCAAGAATTAAATTCAGTGTCTTGACCACCCTAAATAATTTATATAATTCATTCCAATTCTCTCAAAACCAAATAAATTGTACAGGAGATACAGAAACATATAAAACATGTATACATATACCGGGTAAAACATTGGGTCAAGGGTGTAACCAAGTTAAATTTCCAAGTTTAGTATATAAATATTTTCAACACGCATTGTAGGTTCTAAAAAGTGCTGAGATCCTGTCTAAATTCTGCAATTTTATTGATAAAATTATAATTGTATGACAGAATGCTATATTTCATGCTGGTCAGCGGCATGAAATATTGATATAATTAAATTGTTTTTACGATTTCATCAGGATCGCAGCACATTTCAGATACCTTAATTGTTCTACATGTACAGTTAAAACGTAAAAGCTTACTTTGATCCATGGACTGTATGCCCTTGCACTAGATCGATTTATTAAGACCCTCCGATTCACTTGCGTACAGATATACGGCCGTGTCAATTAAATACGTAATGTACAAAAAATATAATAATATAATAGTGAAAAACCATGAAATTCAAGTTATTGGCTTAAAAAATATCTGCAAATATTTTATTTAATTATACTAAATATATTTTATTGATGAAATATTACTTGATTTGTCTCTCACTGCATACAAACTACGTCACGTTGTAGGAAATGAAGTCATATTGAAAAGTGTATTGCGATCAGTGACTTGTTTATAACTTGTTATGTGGGATTTAACTAACGCCAAAATAACACGTTGTAGTACGTATATATGTAGTTTGATTATTTCTTACTGGTTAAACTAGCAGATAAACACATTTTGTGGTATCTTAAAGAAATGCATGACATTCTGTATGATGTAATAGTTAAGTTTTCCCGTAAAAAAATTAGGCTCCGCCTCTTTTTTGTAACCTTAACTTTGCTGCGTATTGTTGGAGGAGAATGATGTATAATAAAAAGTAAAATAGAAATTTAATTCATTCATTAATTTTAAATTTAAATTTAAAACCTGTGAAATTGATTATTATGAAAATACAACATGTATCTTATTATGGACATTGCAAATTGGTCTCTTTCTGAAAACAAATTCTTTAATTTTTATTATATTTAAAAAAAATGATTAATAAAATGAACGAGTTCATTGCATATGTAACGAAAAAAAATGCTCCTAGTAATAACATGAGCCTGATTGCAATCATGAATTGTCTAATTAATTGAAAACAAATATTTCGAATATGGACAAAAATTTTTATCAAATTGTATTGACGTTTAAGTTAAAAACTTGAGTAGAATAGCTCTTTAATTTGATAAGCAGAGAACGGATAGAAAATAAATGTAATTTGCTAAGAATTACTATTCTCACAAAGGATTTTATTTGTCCAGTCTGAGATCAACATTGGTATTGAATTTCAAGATCGAAACATGGCATATTCTCTCATAATTCAGGTTTCCATTTTTTTTCATTTATCTACTAAAATGAATTGTGTAATTAAGCAAAATAATAAACTGGCTTAAAATGTTCATTTAAAATTTTCATACTGGTTTCAAAATTTATCAATTTTTCAATTTTTTTACGAGATATTTAAGCCAAAGAAATGTCCTTTTATAATTAATTTTTGCAACATCAAAAGGTTAATGATACAAAACTTCTCTTTCTATTGATTTTCTTCTTTTATGATTGTCAGGTAACACAGAAAATTAAAGGATAGTAAATATTCATGTGTTTTCAATTACATTTCGCTGATTTTCTTTTTCATTTGAACTTTTGATATAATGTCACATATTTAACCGACTCTTCTGTAGAAAGAAATTATCACGCCATTTCCCAAATGGCTTACAAACAATGCAACTATTTCGCAATGATAACATTTTACTCCACACAAGCGTCATGTTAATAGTTGAACCTTATTTCCAGTCACTGCAAAATAAATAATTCGTATAGGTTTCCTTTGTTCTAGTAATTAATGCAACAGTGTCCAAAGAATTCATCAAGTCAAATATGTATCCGTGTATTGACATTTCGAAAATGGAAATACCAATTGTTCTATCGTAGATATATTTCCAAAAATTTATGTTGATGCTTATAATTACTTGGGAATTTAAATAGATCGTTTTGTCAATTAAAATACTCCAAACAGTTTCAAGCTATCCTTAAATATTCCGTAAATAACACCATTATTGAGGCATTAGGGAGAAGAATGGCAATCAAAGTGAATCTCTGCGCATTGCTTTTCATGTGGATATTTGTAAGGTTTGCCTGTTCTGAGAATTTTGTGGATCACCTTTTTGAAAACTATAGTTCAATGTTAAAACCACGAAAAAACCAAAGTGATGTGGTACATATCAATTTCTATTTTACCATCAATGCAGTTCAGGAAGTTGATGAACGTATGCAATATATATCATTTTTCGGTTGGTTAAATGTTCAGTGGTATGACGAATTTCTAACGTGGAACCGCACTCAGAATTCCGGATTAGAAACAATTGCAGTACCTTATCAGAAACTTTGGACCCCGGATATATCAATGTGGTATACTGAAAAAGGAATTCATGGATTGGAACCACACCCATACGTTACATTGAATTCTGATGGTCACGTGACTTGGTATCCTGGCGGGAAAATGATACTTTCATGTGACATCAAAGTTTCGAGATTCCCATTTGATGAGCAGCAATGTAAAATAATTGTTAGCGCTTGGCAAGTAAATGACTGGGTCCAAAAACTTGTTCCAAAATCACGAACAAGTGATGATTCAAAACTTATTACTGAAAATGGTGAATGGATATTTATTAAATTTACCTATACAATAGAGTACTTCCCCGAATTTCATTTGACAACTGTGGCTTACGTTCTTCATTTTAAAAGGAGATACTTATATATCGTTCTGACTATTTTTGTTCCTATAGTCATTCTGGCTGTTTTGAATTCGCTAACCTTCTTTGTACCAGTTGATTCCGGGGAGAGAATTACCTATAGTTTGACGCTTTTTCTGACGTTTACTGTCTTCTTAACCTTATTCGAGCAAACGATGCCACGAAATTCTACTGATGTACCATATCTCACAATATACGTTGGATTTCATTTGCTCCTTTGCGTGATAAGTACGATAATTTCTGTTTTGTTGAAACCTATTATTAAACCAAGTATTAATTATGATCAATACCGATACTCTGAGAAACAAACAAATGAGCAGGACATTGAGAATGGAAAGAGTGATGAGGTTAATAAACCGGTTGAATTTGATATAGATAAAAGCAAAGAATCTTGTGGTTCCCCTATAACGTCATGTAAAAGAAAAGTTGACATGTGCATGATTTTATTTAATATAATTGCGTTAATATCTTCAACGGTAACTTTATTCATTTTCTATTATATATGACTAATGTAATTAATCATCTTCTTCAAATGTCATTAAAAATCTGTGTTTCATACGTTGCTTTATTTATTTATTAACATTCAAATGTATGCGCATTTTCTAAACATCAAAATATAAATATCTTTTGCCGCCACCTTTCTTGCCCGCGTAGGCATTGGTAGAGAGTCTGCTTTATGGTAACGAAATGAGGAGTCAATCCCTTCGTTACGGGTTCGAATCCCACTGTAGGACGTGGAGACAGGTCCTTCTGATGAGACTGTATATACCGAGGCCTTGTGTCGCCGTAAATGCTGGCAAGAAAAAGATACCTAACTGCTCAAGGGGCCTTAGTTCAACAACACATAAACAAACAAAAACAGAAAGTTTCAATGATGAATTTAAGGAACAAACAAGAGAACATGTTTCAAAGAAATTGTCATTCAGATTTTCAGTTTAACAACATCAAGGTGATTACCGGTTTATATACCTGTACAGCTCCGCACAATTCACCCCATACTAAAGTATTCGTAACTTTTAATTTTTAGGTGTTTAGGTGTTCTGCGAATCATAAAATTTCAAAGTAGCTCTGGCAGTTGCTCCGGCGAGAGTACCGTGAAATAAAGTTAATTCTTCACGAAAATGTGGCTAGGAAGTGACTAGCACGTGCAGACATTGTAAATAGTAAAGCTAAATTGCCTTTCAATTTTTATCACCCTGTAGAAATGTACTTCAATTTATCTTGAATTCATTCAAACTTTGAAAAGAATCTCTCTATGATATGATTTTCTTCAGTCTTGAACTAGAATTTCTTTAAAGACAAATATAAAGCTCAACAAACCTTTTAAGCTCACATAGTTTTTCGCACAAATTAAGGTCACATTGTTGTAATAAAAATTACCATTTTCGAACTGCTGTACAATGACATAGCCCTTCGTTATATTACATATATAATGCCAAGCATAAATGTCTTTTAAAGTTAATATCTAAAGTTTCCACAGTGGATGTTTTAAAGGAAAATTTATAAATAAATAATAGGATGTTTCGACTATACGATTCTAAAATAGGTTTTTAAATATTGTATAAAAGGAGCTATCCTTGATCCCATGTAGTTGAAAATTTTAAATTTTCTTCTTAAAGGTGTGAATTTTTTAAAAATCTTTGCCCATTTACCATACTCCTCTTGGTTTCGTCGAAATGTAGCGCCGAAAAGAGATAATATTGCAATAGGAAACCATACTAAAGGGTAGGATAATGAAGTATTGTTTATTTTTTTAAATAGTAAATTTCATTCTATAAAAAGGAAAATTCTTTTGCATTTACGGTTTGAAACGTTAAAATTTTGCAGTGGGATGAATCTTTTATGATTCTAGATTTTAGAAGTTGACTCTTAAAAATTCCTCCTTATTAACATAGAAAGCAGTCAAACAGATGGAAAATACTATTACCAACCTGAGTTAACTAGTCAAAATGTACAGAACATACAAGTTACAGTAGCTGTACTGTACCCATGTCTACGTTTCTGACAAGAGCTATTGCATACAAAAGAACGGATAAAAAGACAGTTACAATTGGCAAGAAACTACAAAAATTCAAATGAAAATAGTTGGGTTTTTTTTCAGCCATGAATATATCAAAGTTTTACCAATTGATTTGTGTGAATTATGTTTCAGTAAATGAAATAAAACTCAAATTATGTAAACAAATACTTTTAAAATGTATTTTGTTGTCTCGATACACAATATTATATCAAAATAACGTGACCTTAATTTGTGCGGAAAACCATGTGAGCTTAAAAAGTTTGTTGAGCTGTATTTGCATGGGAATCCAGACTATATTTTTAGCGAATGACTAGCAAATGAGGGACTAACATGGCTTTAACTGACTTTTAATCAGCTGTATGAGAATTGCATTATGGGTTACTACGGATACTACAGAAATTTTACGCTTGAAAAAACCCAGAAACTCTTCTGATGATCGGAAAGGCACAAAGAACATTTTTTCCCAACCATTTCGCAAATAAAAAGCTATTTTTTTCTATTATTTTCATGCTCACAATTACAAATAATTCATTTGTTAGATAAATGTGGAGTTCTGGGTTGCTCAAAATCATACTGCAAGACGATTTGCGTCTGTACTAATTCCTTTGAATTTGTGCCTTATTGTTATCATATTGCGCTTTAAAGTCCTGATAATGTACAGAAAATACAAAAGTTACAGAAAACTGCACTGTTCCTGTGTCTAGACAAGGCAAAGGAACGGATATAAAGTCGTTGCATTTGACGAGAAACCATGAAAAAATCCACTGGGATCTGCCATTATTTATCAGCCAAGAATACATCAAAGTCTACCAATAATATGTGTTACATGTAACTATGCTAAAAGTTGGTGAAATCAAGATATAAATCACTTATACAATATATATCGTTGCCTCGTTACAAAATTTCGCATTATATCAATGTGACGTTAATAAGCACGAAAGACCATGTGAGTTAAACAACAGGCCCATGGGCCTTATAGGTCACCTGATCTTATAACATATTAGGCATTTTCAACATACACTTCAACATAAACTTTGCCCCACCCTAGAACCTGAACCCTTGACCCTGGGGCCATGAATTTCACAATTTTGGTAGAGGCCTCAATGCTTACTATGATCATGCCAACAGTTTGATTATTTGATTTCCAGAAGGAAAAAGAAGATTTTAGAAGATTGCTTACTTTTTGGGGAGTTTGGCCCCACCCCTTGGGCCCCAGGGGGGCATAGACCATGAAATTCATAATTTATGTTCCTCTTTGCTCGTAGTTACTACATTCCAAAATTGGTTGAAATTGATTGAGCAGTTTCAGAAAAGAAGTTGAAAATGTTCAAATGTTAACGCACGACGGACGACGCACGGCGACGGACAAAAACAGATATCAATAGGTCAACTGAGTAACTCAGGTGACCTAAACAAGTGCGCGGAGCTGTATATCCAATTAAACCAGTTTTAAGTTGCCTACGATATATACACAGGTCAACCGTCATTTATACATTACATTTTTTATATCCTTAAAACTATGAATATAGTAAATATCGCCAATAATATTTTTTTCCCAAATATGACAGGACAAAAATAAAATATTTTATATCAGAGATGCCAATTTCTTTACATTTGTTCAACACGCAAGATCCTTGGGACTGCTTTAAGACTTCTGTGAAACTACTCTGGAATCGTTGTTGGACTCTTTACAAAGCAGACCAAGCAGTCCACTGGACTGTTTTGTTTACTCATATGTGAAAAATGTTGAGTGCCTTTAGAGCTCCTCTCTTAGTGTATTTTGAATTTGCAGGCTCCCCGCAGTTTTTTTGATTACTTTCAGCAGAGAGGTAGTTAAATTGTAAAAAAAAAAAAATAATAATAATAAAAAAGGACTTCTTACAAACTATTAAGAAGTAGAGATCATTACAGATATCTATTGTCTTCAGGGCCTGTAAATTTGCCCTGAAGTTGCTCTAAAGTTATTTTTTTTAAGTAACATAATATAAAAAGGAATTCAGGAGATGATTTTATCCCTCACATATTAAAATACAGGTTTTTTAGAGGAAAAATTGTTGGGCCTATTGAATTTATCAATGTTGTAAAAATATATACTGAAAGTTTGTATTAGAGATTGTTCTATCTGACGTATCCGTATAAGTATCCGTATCCGTATACGTATCGAGGTATGAGAGGCATCTCGATCCCGATGCATAAACCATATGGTTACATTTCCATCGTTTCATGTTTGATTTTTAACCTCATTCACTAAGAAATGATATTAGTGTGATATTTTTAATAAGAACGTGTCAGTTGCTGTTCACGACTTATGCATCCTGTAAAAGGGTGAAGGGGGGGATTAAAAGTTTAAAAATTAAATTCTAAAAACAAGTATGTTTTTTTTTTTAATTTAAACAAGTAAAAAATAGTTCGAAAATATTTCTAGATTCACCTCTCTCTCTCGCCCACTCTTTCTCTCTCGCTCTCTCGCTCTCTTTCTCAATATTAGAGTTTCATTAATTGTTCATTCTCGAATTAACATTTACAAGAACACGACATATCTCCAATAGTATATAATTATATATACAGTTAAACCTCTAAAACTCAAACTTGTAAATTGTAAATGCATGTAGTTGTACATTAACTGGGAAAGATTTAACCATACATTGTAGGGCAAAACAAATGTGTATGGTTGATTCACTGAAAATGTCCATCCTCCTTTCCATTTTTATCATCTTCTATGCCATTCATTATCAGGTATTTGATGGTCATAGTTCCCACCCCCCCACCCCTCTAAAAAAAAATTGGATAGCTGGTAATTCTGGGGCGGTTTGAAAACACTCCCTAAATTGTAGGTCGATAGCCGTATCATGGGCGGCGGAAGCAAATAGAAAGTGGGGGCTAAACCAACAAAAAAGGTAAACCCCAATTTTAAATACCTATATTATGTCCATCTTTGCAAAAAAGTGGGAGGGGGATTAAGCCCCCCCCCCCCCCCTTGTTCCGACGCCTATGCGTATCCATGGTTTCAAGGAGCTTGAAAATTTGAACATGGTCGAGTTTATAGTGAACAAAGCAAGCTCTGAAAAATTTGATATTTTATCATTGTAATTTTTCTTTAACATGTGTGATTTTTTTTTCTTGGCTACATTGAAACAGTTCCTTCTCTTCAATTCTATAATTTGTGCACACTGATCTCGATCTCGGCCAAATTATATATAATATACTATATAAAAAAGAAAGTAAGATAAAAAAGTAAAGAAGACTAGCACGGCAAAATAAGATGTATTATTTCGAAAATTTTGAGCCATAATTATTTTATTCTTTGCATAAAAATAGAGTTGAATA